AAGCAATTCTGTTAAAAGTTTTGACATTCAAGTAACTAGCTTGAGCGTCTTATATAATTATTTTTGATGGTTTAAAATTATTTTTAAATTTATATTTAAATTTGTAGATATTTTAGTAAAATCATTTTTTCTATGTAGAAATAGAATAGAAAATTCAATTTTATTAAAGTTGCGTAATACACGAAGTTAATTATTATAATAAATATAAATCAATAATTATAACAAATGAGGAAAGAGTTCTACATCTAGTTAAAAACTAAAAATATGATTAATATCAATGATTCATAATCACTTATCATGTCACTTATAGCATAACTTTCATAAATAATAACTCCTATCGAGCTCTATCAATTCTCCATAAATACAAAATTGCGGGTTTTATACGTAAATATGGAAAATCGTAGCAGCAATCGCAATAAAAATGATAAAGTTGAATAATACATTATTCACGCTGTTAACTCAATTGTCAACTTGTCTATTGAACTTATTTGCAAATTAAATAAGAATGTTTGGTTTTCTCTTTCCGGGTGCGCGGCTTATTTTAATGTAAGTTACGTCGCGGACGATTTCTGCATTCGAACGAACAGCCATCATGCATTCCTATCGCGAAACTAAAACTTATTTATATTGATGATAACAGACGCACATTAAATTCACAAAATATCCGCTGTGATAATTATTCACTTTAGGGAAGACAACTCCTCTAGATTATTCCGAATTCTCGCGTAAAAATATGGCTCATTTGAAAACAGTAATAAACAGAATTATAGTCGTGTTGATCGTACACAGAAAAAAAACAACTGAAAACTTCATTGATTCAGCAGATCTATCAGCAAATCTCAGTCGTAACATATAGACAGTCAATTTTCTATTAAAATAGCAAAGTTGATTGAATAACATTAACAATTTGTTAAACCATCAAATCTTCTTAGCTATCGATGTTGAATTCGCCTAGCAAATTATAGGTTTGCTATATCACCCATTAATTTTTTTTCCGTGTATTACATGTACAATTATATTCCGTGTACAATTTATGAGTGATGCGATTCGCGACGAAATTATTTTTTTCCCCAATATGCCAGTTTGTTTACTAGCAAAAAATTACAAACCTATCTCCCGGTTATTTTATAACGATATATTTAAATGAGAAACGATAGGTCAGCTATTCTAACATTTCAAAAAAACATGCAGAAAGTAAGCATATTTTATTTTGCATCGTTTCAATTTATATAATTCGAGATATATATGTATATATATATATAAAATCCTTTAAATTATAAAATTCTTTTTGTTATTAAATTGCGTATGAGATACTTCAACGAAAATAAGTCTGTTATTTCTATTTGAACAATTATCAAATTATAATTAATAATAAAATAATCATGTTTTACAACAATTTATAAATCCTCATTCAATTATTTTTGCAATACAATCTAATTGAAAGTGAAGATGCAGTATAAATATTGCATTATATTACGTGTATTTATTCCTCAAACTTACAATTTGCATAGTTCAAAAATAGTCATAGAGAAAGTAATGCTCTATCTACGGTACTTTTTATCCGCGTGAATAGTAATTTAGACGATCATTAAGAGTAAAAGCTCACCATCAAGATGCCTGGCGGAAAACAAATTTTTGTCTCATTTGCAACAAAACCAAGTGCAAAAATGCCATATTAGGAATTGTCCTAATCATTCATATCCTAATCATCTACGAGCAGAAAACAAGTAAAACTGGTTGGTTAGATCATAACTAAATTGCAATGTTGCAAAATGATCAAACGGTTTAAATTGCAAAAATAAAAGAAAATATTCTTCATCATTATCTCTATAAAGATCGTAAAGATAATAATATATAAGCAATATAATAATTATTGCTCCAATATGAAAGTTTCCAGCAGCAATATTTTCTAATTGGGAATCATTTAAACGATTTTAAAAACATCGTGATATAAATTGAATTATTACGTACAAGGCACTTTTGAATCATCATTAAAAATAACATATTTTTGCATATTTTTTCAAATGGTACGTTTTCACTTCCAGATCTCGCTGAGAAAAATCATTATTACTGTTGCTGCAGCTTTAATAGTCATCGCTGCGTTCGTGCATGCGATACCGACTTCCAGCCCAATTCCGTCCGGAGCTATTACGATTTATCCGATACCCCAAAGGCCACCATACGCACCGAATCCATGGATCTATCCGAAACCCACTACAGTGCAATCTGTAGGACGTTAAATAAAATGTCGCGAGTTCCTTTTATTTCAGAATCGTATATTTCACAAAGCTGATCTTGTGACCGTTTTCTTTTGATTCTCAAACTCGCTAATCCATTTTCAATTGAGAAATAATTTGAAAACTTGAATAACTAACACTTTTTTTATCT